TTTGCATTTGACTATTTAAATCAAATATTTTTTGAGAAGTGGTCATATCCAGATATAAACTATATTTTCAGTTTAATTTATTTTATATGTCTTGGTACGGTTTTTTAAAAAAATAACAAAAAAATTTTTTTCGGAATGATTCTGAACAATTTTTCCAGAATTACAGAAAATTTCACTTTTTTTCATCCAGTTGTTTTTGGGTTATGATAAATGCGTTATAAAATACTTTTTGTTAAATTGTTTATTTTGTTTGAAAAAAATGTAATATTTTGTTTCGTGCCAACTTATCTAATGGAATTTTTCATTTGAGCATTTAAATCAAATCTAATATGTTTTAACTAGAAACTAAAATCCTATTCTTTTAAGAAATACATTTATTATCTCAACTTAATTAACATGTTTTTGATCATTTCTTTTAAAAAAATAATTTCAACCTTGAAAAAAAAAATTCAAGAACATGTAAAAATTATTAGTAACATGTCAGAAATTGTTCTGCTATTAGTTTCGGATTAAATAAACTTTAATCTTCCTTAAAAGCAAACTTAATAAAAACTGTACATATTGTTCGATTAAAGCATTGTATTAAAGGATAATTTTTTTTACACCCATTCTTTAGATTTCAGTGTCTTATCTACCGTTTTTACAAACAGTCAGATCAAACAATCTGGAAAAATAACCCAACTAGTCTGAGGTTCACTCATGCCACTAAATAATTGAAATCAAACATTTTACTGTGAAATGAATAAATAACCTTGCGAGCGAAAAAACTAGAACAATTTGACCCCTCAGGTATAGCGATGACCTTGACTGGCTTTTGACTCGGAAAGGATTATTATTATTTGTTCCATAAGTTGTAAACTAACAAGATAAATGAACGATTCATTAATATTTTTATCCTCACTTTTTGAAGGCGAGATTTTACGATGATAACTTTTTTAAAGAAGATATAAATGACTTTTTTTATTAATAATGAGAATAACAATCTTTGCGATAATAAATGAGAATAACAATCATAACTACATATAAAAATTAATTGCTTAAAACAATGTTAAGCCACACTGCTGAAAACGATACGTGTAGTTAATAAGCGGATGACGTAGGTTGGAATAATAAATTTAAAATGTTTTATTTGTTTTAATTTTAATGTAAATTCCGTTTAATAAACAAAGAAGAATTACTAGTGTAAATGCGTTTATGTAAACAAAACATTAAATTATTTTGAAAGGTAAATTAAAACAAAGAAAGGGAAAAAGCCACCATAACCATAATTGTACAGTGTGGTGCTGTTGGGTTATTTGTTTTTACTTATTTTAATAGCTAAATTTTAGAAAAAATAAAAGTTTAAAAAAAATGTGAACATCAACTGTCGTTCCCGCTTAACAGGTGTTGAATTTTCTTTTTAAATTTATAAACTCAATCTACTCGTTAAACGAATAGCCAATTCACCGATTCATCAAATCGCTGATTTATTGATATGTCGAATCAGTGATAGAATGATTCATTAATTTTAACTTATTCCCGTATTTGTCTTCTGCATTAAAAATCCATTCATAACAACACTAACCTAAACTAACGTAAAATAGAATCTTATACCTAAAATGACGGGAGTAGTTAGTTAGAATGGCCCCGTGACCTCTTAGATATTTTAATAGGTGAACCTCAAGTGGTTTAGGGTATAAGGTACATATATATATATATATATATATATA